TCACAAAATAAAGTCAATACTAATGTTGTCAATAAGAAACAATAGTAATAGAAATAATGATAATTAAACATTAATGAATAATTATTACTCTTTTTCATTTAGTTGTTCACTTTATTAAATCAAAAAAATATTAATTCTTCCTATATTATGTACCCTTGCAATTATTATTTTTTAAAAGTGATCATATTTGTTTGTAAAATTCCCAAGAAAGAGTGAATTAGTGAAATCATCTTATTATTTATGATTTCTTAAACACAATATAAAATGAAAAATGATCCACTAATATAGAGCGGAAAGAGTACGCTAATTTGAAGAGAAAAAAAAGTCAAACGTATGAAAGTAATCGTCTATTGTCTTCTTTTGTGTCATATAAGTGATTAATTTATTTCAGAAAAATATTTAACCACAAGATATGTATATGTAAATTGAAGTGTACCCATTTAGAGGAGCAATGAAAGTGATAATACAAACATAAACTTAAAGAGAGATTTTTCTATCATTTGTCTGTTGACATTTGACTCCTCTTGTATTATTTTAATTTCTATAAAATAAAGAAGAAAAACAGAAAAGTATAGTGTTTGGTTAATCAACAACCTTTGTAGTGATAGCTATGTTGATTAGAGGATAATGGACGCTCCTAACACCTTTTGAAAAGTAAAGAAAATGCTTTTTCACCTATAATAATAAATTAATGACGCTACATCCTTTTCATTCACTTTATTATATATCAAATCAATAAATACATAACGAATAATTTTTATATATAATTTTTTCATATAGGTGTTTTTTTATGTAATTTAATTTCAAATTTTATTTAATCAATGATATATTTATGTGAAATTGAAAATTGAGTCAGTAAAGTTGAATTATTTGTACCTAATTTAAAAAGATACGATAGTTTTTCTCTTGCTATATATATTGACAATTTATATATTTTTTTTGTATTTAATCATAGGTTTTTGGATTTTCGTCTTACTTTTTTGAATTGTGTACATGGTATCCTAGTTTTTGTTTTTATTTTTGGTTTTTCGTCCCGTCCAGTGTCTGATATCCATATTAAAGTCTTACTATTTTGATTCGCATTAGGTAGGGCCTATTTGGGGAGAGCGCTTCCTATCAAAGATTTTTTCATACTTAGGACTCAAACTCGAGCTTCTGATTAAAGGAGAAACAATCTCATCCACTGCACCACATCCTTTGATGGTAACATCCCAACTTTTAAACATGCAGAAAAAAAGAAGACAGGTGACTATTTCAAAAATTAATTTATGAACAAAAAATGTTTTCAATAATCAAAGGATGATTAAGGGGTCAAGTTCAACGCACGCAACTTTTTTGCTTCACAAATAAGATTTATTTGTTCTATTGGTATAAATTCGTAATATAGATTAGAAAGGGAGAGAAATATATTTTAAAAAAATAAAAAAAATAAAGATTTAATTTTGAGGGTAACATTAATTGAAGAAATTTTAAGGGCAAAACAACATCAAGATGTGTACCTTAATACGCAACAAAATTATTTGTTGTTGATTTTGCTGTCGAAACGAATTGCTCCAGATCTCTCTTTGAATCACAAGGAAACAAAGAGTATTCTTGTTCACAAACTAAGTGTTTGTATATGTGTCGATTGAATATTGACACTTTTGGTTTTCTCTGTTTTTCTTTTCACTGAGTTTCAACGTATATCAAAGTTACTCCTACTAGGAGCCTTTTAAGGGAATGTTGAACGGTTACTTTGTAACATTCCCTCCTATCCTTTTAAAAAGATTATCCATTTAATTAATTAATTAATTAAATTGGATAGGATAAAAATGAATTGGAACGGGTCGATGCACATGGGAGACCCACGAGTCAAAACTTACATTAATATTTAAAATGTTCAATTTAGTTAAAATAGAGAGGATATTTGTTATTTAAAGTGGTAAAATATGTTTTGACTTTTAAATTAATATTCGAGGAAGAAGATAATTTTCATCCAAAATATGATATCTCACTTTGCAATACAAATGAACACTCCAAAATATAGTTAACAACTAAAAATTACAAAAAATAATAAATTAACAATATTTAGAAAATATCATATAAAATAAAAAAAATGTTGAATAATAATAAAAATAATAATATGGTGGATTAAAAAAATATAATTTACATAAATCTCACAGTGTTAAGAGCTAATTACATTATTTCCGTACTATTTTTCAAATTACGAGAATCCCTTAAAATTTTTGACTTCCGATATATCACTGGACTTCTGGATACATCAGCAGACATCGATATACATAGGGGAGGGATGTATCAAAAAGGGGATAGAGCATCTGGATACATAGGGGAGTGATATATTAGAGAGGGGGAAAATGTATCTGAGAGGGAAGGGATGTATCAGAGGAGAGGGGTGTATCTGAGAGAGAAGAAATGTATCATCGAGAAAGGAGTGATGCATTTGAGAGAGAATTTTTGAAAATTTTTAAATGATAAGAAATTTTAAAAATTATAATAAAATAAGATGTGTATTTAGCTAGTTTTTTTCATTAAAAAGGCAGAGGTGTTGCTCAACTTTAAATGTCTCAGAAGTCTTGTCCTACTAGGTAGTGCGTTTTGAAATGTAGACGTCCACTTTTGGGTACTAAAGTTTCAACATCCTCAAATTTAATGAATAATTGAAACAAAATGCTTTTCCTCATTTTGTCTTTCTTTTTTCACTTTAGGGGTCATTTGATAGAATGTATCAAAAGAAACAATGTGTTGGTATATATTTTAATTATGTATATTAAGGTGTGTATTATTAAAATATAAAAAATTATGATATTAATAATTTATGACTCAATTGCTTTTCAAAATCTTTTATTTTTTTCACTATATTTGTGAAAGGTATCTTTGTAAATAAATCTTTTTAAAAAATTATGCAATAAATGCTATTTTTAATACGCTAGATCGAAACAAAATAATGTATTTAAAATAATTCCTACATAATTAATGCAAGTATAATCAATACAAGCATTATTAATACATATTATCAAATATTATTATTATTATTATTATACTCCATATAAAAAAAAACTCCTTTGTTTGACAGTTATACACGCAAGAATGATAATTCTGCAAATCATTGGCTGATAAATAATATTATAAAAATCATCAAATTCTCCCCTTTATTGTATGCATTGTCCATTTTATCCTTATTATGTGTAATATCTTTTTATATTATATTAATTTATTTTTTAACTTAGGTATTTATAACTTTTTCTGTAAGTTCATTAACATTATAAGTAGAATAATTTTTTTATGAATTTGTCAAAAAAATTAATGTTATTTCAATATAATATGCATTAAGCGTGTAGATATGTATGTACGTGTATATTTTTGTCTTTCTTTACTTTCTACTTCATGCATTTCATATAACTTGATCCCTTCCTAATATAACGCCCCTTACAAAAATTTAACTAGAGATGTAATTTACTAAACTTACATTATTAATAGTGCTTTGAAACTTTAAATTTGAGTATTACTATTTTATGTAGTTATTTAATATTAAGGGTAGAAATAAAAAAATATTTGAAAACTCTTTCGATCTCATTAATTGGACAAGTAAATCAAAACAATTATTTTTAGAGGAGAAAATTGTATGAAATAGTAAACTATTAATACAAATTAAATGTTATAGCCATAGTTTATTTTATTTGTAATTTGCAGCAAACATCCCATTTTCTTGCCATTTGATTCGGTATACAATTAGCCATTTTCGGTATACAATTAGTCATTTTATACATTTCGGTATAAAATGTGTTTGTGTTTGTATAAAACTAGAGAAAAGTGTATATACAAATACAAATACATATATTTTCGTCCTATACACTTATAATTATACAAATATAGATCTTATTATACAAATTACAATGTATAAATGAATTTATACAAAACTGAACAATTTGTATAAAACTGGATGTATCTAGCGAATTATACAAATCAAAAGCTCCATAGCAAACATAAAATTTGCTATGGAGCACAATTATGCAAACTATAGCTATAACATACAAATATGATTTTGATGTTTGATATATGTGAAAGTTGCTCTACTTAGA